CTGGCCCCCATACTATATACTGCTGGTATCAACCCAAAGTTCCTACTCCCATCACAACATCCATCCCATTCTGGCCAGGAAATCCCAAATGTCTCCTGGGACATCTGCTGTATTTCCTGTCCCTTTGTCATCTGGCAACCCTGAGGTCACTTAACTTCTCATCAGAGTCCTCAGGAGGATAAGCAGCCCTGTCTTGAACCTGCAGGGACATGTAGAGTGAGGAGACCCTGGAGCCAGCCTTGGAGACGTGCCAGGGCCCACAGCCTCCCTGAGCTTCTCAACATCCATCCTTGTGAGAGATGTTGACTTTCTTCCTACCACATTGCAGGCCCATCTTTTCTTGTATGGCCCTGTGTTGAGCTGGAGAACAATGGAGGCAGGCGGAGATCAGCTCATTTCAAAGGTTGAAGAGCATTATTAAATTGTTTTTGCCTCTGGGATCCATTGTGTGGGCCTGCCCTATTTCACATTCACCTTCCCAGTACACAAACTCCCCGCAACTTAACAAAACAGAGTGATACTCTCTTTACAAGATAATTCACCACACCATTTTAAAAAGAGAACAGCTTTGAAATACAATTTTGATTTGCCATTAAGAGATATGCATCCAAATTTCCAGAAATGATGAGGTCCCTTCTCGCTCTAAAAGTCTGTGAAAGCTGTCTGACCCCATCTCCTCCTCTCTATGAAGCCTTTTGTAGAGGCTGACAGGACAGCCCTTTCGTATTGGGCTGACAGGGCCAGTTCAGAGTTGTGACCCACTGTCCACCTGCTGATTAATCCTCTACCTGAAGAACAATATGATAAAGGAGTAACAAAGTGGGGTTGATTACCCAACCTGAGCAAGCAGAGGGTAAAACCTACATGCTTTCCACAGGACATATTTTTTAAAGAAAGCATTTCAGGGCTGCTTTTATCCTTGGGTGGCATCTTTGCTAAATTATCCCCTCTAATTGGTCGGTGAGGGAGGCCAGAGTCCAGCCTTCCAGTGTAATGGATTCCAGCGTGGTTCACTTTCCATTCTAGAATCCGTTTT